AGCAGCCGTCGAGCTACCAGCCCCAGCAGCCCAAGCAGCCTTCGAGCTACCAGCCGTCGAGCTACCAGCCCCAGCAGCCCAAGCAGCCGTCAAGCTACCAGCCGTCGAGCTACCAGCCCCACCAGCCCCAGCAGCCCAAGCAGCCGTCAAGCTACCAGACCCAGCAGCCGTCGAGCGACCAGCCCCAGCAGCCTGTTATGCAAAGGAAAGATGACATGTGGGACTTTGCGCTTTCCCCTGATGGTGTCGCTTTTGACCCTGATGAGATGTCCACTTACCCTGAAGGGAATGTTGAGCCTAGAAATTTTAGACCAACTTTAATGGTGGCCCCAAACCATCCTGGATGGCAGCGGCAATGGGGACGTGTGTGAGGTCATGAGCTTGACTATGTAGACGTAAGTAAGTAGACTTCAGTTTTTACCTCTTAAATGACGTGTTCTCTTGCTAATGGTGTTTTTCTGTTCTCAGGTGACTCTTCTGGAGACTCTGGCATCTTTGAGAAATTCAATAAAATAATTTGAACTACACCTAAGACTGTTATTTGAGTGGCGATGTAAACTTCATCAAGAAAAGAATTTAAAGTTTTAAACTTTAGTCACATATTTACTGGCTTTTACTTTGCTGCAGAAACTTTTCAAACTGGGGCTAAAAACCAACCAGATGTCTGGAGATGAGACATTTTGCCAGGGATACGTCTCACTGAGTAAAATTAGAGGACATCCATCAAGACGGATTCAGAATCTCTGCAATGAACTGAAACTCTCAGATGAGACTGTTCACAAGTCAAGAAGTTGAAGTTTGCCTTAAGTGCAACACTTCTAGGTTTTGGAGTTTGCATCTTGTGGCTCATTGTAAATGGTGCTTTCTAATCTAACTTTGACCTCTGACCTTTTCTTTAAGTCAAAGTTTAAATGCTCCAGAATTTAAACACCAGCTAATACAAATCTGATTCAAACTATTGTAGCTGTGGAGCCAACTTTCAGTTACAGGAGTCAAACTTGTAAATCCTCTTTTATTCAACTTTTATTTCCTTTACTTTATTTGCATTGTTTTCATCCTTTAGTTTAAATTTTAGATTTTATTTGCTGCCTAGTTTGTTTAGATTCTCATTTCTTTTCTGACAGACCTCAGTTCTTGGCTCCGTTCCTTCGTGTAGCTCGTGTTTCAGATTCTTGAGTCTTTATTTGATTGAATCTGCTGCTTGAGAAGCTTCAGACCAAACTGAAGCTCAAACCTTTAAAAACCTGAGACGATGACGACCTCATGTAAAATCTGACTGAAAACACACAGAGCTCACGATGCTGCTCATAGAACAACTTCAGATGTGAATCATCCGTCTCCAGCTTCTCGTCTTTTCTCTTTCCTCCCACCGCCTCCCTCTCTCCCCCTCTCTCTGATAGCTGTTATTAGTTTAGTCTCCTGTTTTTGGGGGAGATAATAACAGACTGTGTGTCGTTGCTCCCTGTCATTACAAACTGAGTCTGTGGTTAAAATGACTCGGCTCTGCCAGCTTCACCATCTGATCCCCAGCGAGCTGGTCGGCCTCAGTCTGCAGGTTCTCGGTCAGTCTGCACATGAACGTTCACAACACTGAAGTTCCAATGAATGAATTTCTGTAATTGTGATGTTTCCTGTTGAAACAAGTAATGATGCAAGACGTTCGTCCACCATGTCTGAACAATCCTCTCAACACAACCTGCTTTTGCACCAGGATCCAAAATCTTCATCAAAATAAAAGCTGTCATATAAAAACAAAGTAAAATGCTGTGAGGAAATCTGTGTTCATATCATTTTTCTCTGTTGATGGTTTAATTGTTTATTTTCCATAAGGAATTAGATTTTTCAGCATTGTGATAGAAATGTTGAATCTTTCCAGCTTTTCCACAAAAATCTCTTCATAGATATTTGAAATATAGAAACAGAAAAAGAGCCAAA